TGGTATTCTGGTCTGTGAGCGTATATGCGTTCAGGCGGCGTGGCTTTGGACAGCGATTGCGGGGAGGGTGGGACGTTCGCTTTCAGTGCTATCAGGCTAAAGTTAGTATTTTCCAAGATCTCCTACTGCACCTTTAAACTACTGGAGCCTCTCTCTCTACTCCCACAAGCGAGGGCAGGCCTGGGCTGCTCTTAAACTCTGGGCAAGGCACCATTTGGCCATCCACCTAACGGTGCTTCCTTCACATCAGCTGAATCCACAGATCTCCCATCATGGACATAATGACTGACTTTCTCTTTGTATTGACCATTATTATTATTATTATTACTACTACTATTATTATTAAGTGTTGCCAAATCTACTTTATAAAGTGACAGATGAAGTACAAATTAACCTTTTTTTTAATTTAACAAAATAATACTGTAATTCAGGAATTTTGACAGATTTTCTTTTAGTTAACTCAGCTAAACAAAGCCTGCACTAATGAAAACCCACAATGTTCCTGGTCTAGTCGTCTTCTCTCATAGAATCCATAGTAAAGAATTTGCTTTTTGAGGGCTGTTATGGTTTAGATTTCACTGTCCGTTTAACACATAAAGCAGTTTTATTTTCAAGAAACCAATTTTAATTTACCTCAAATAGGTTTTATTCCTGTCCAACACATCAGTATCTCAAGCTTGTGAATGTGTGCCAGTTACATGACTGTTCTTGAGTCTGGACTAATACATAATTACAGTATGCTCTGTTTTAATATTGATACAATATATTTAATGTATCAGTGTTTTAATATCACACTGTTGTCCCTGAAGATCTTTTTCCATATCATGGATAATGAATATTATAATGTACAGCTGTGAACCATTTTTAGCACTCACCTTCCACATCTTAGCACTTCAGATACATTTCAAAACACATACATTTTGATGGTAGATAAACTCCTTCGTAAGTAATGAAGTCCACCATTTGGTCCCCCCCACTCACTATAAGCTAGTGATGTGTTCTGATTTGTTTACATGCACACTTTAAATATTGGCACAAAAATGCAGTTTGTTTGCAGTGTGGCTGTTTTTTAAGTGTTTCTTATAAGAGATGCAAAATAGACGTTATGGTCGGGGAAAATTTTCAATGTAGTATTGAAAAATGTTAATTGCTATTGAAGGTGTCTTAAATTAATATTATTTTTCATTTTAAGACACTTTTTCGGTATTTATAACAAACTACAATGCACTTAAAACATTTTCAAATAGAAATGCTGTTAAGTTACAAAGTTAAGTCTCAGTCAGTCACAGTACTGCATCAGAAACAAGATTTTAGTTTTTTTTTGTTTTTTTTTAAAGAGGTATTCCTAGTACTTTAGGGGATCTAATGACAAAAGAGAACCTGACCAGATTTGCCTTTCTTTACCTGCCTTGTGCTTTACTTTATGCTTCCTCAGTATCAATATTTTTTTGCTAATTTAATTCTGAAATTAAGTGCTATTAATGCAAATACAAGGTCCTTAATGTACTAATGTGAAAATAGAGTGTACTTATATGTGTGTGCGCGCACATTTTTCCCTTTGAAATAAAAAAACAAAACACTTTTGGGTAACTGGGATTTCAGACTTTTTTTGTACCCTTTGAAAAATGATTTAAGTGATGCAAATGACTTTAAAAACTGAAACTGCATTAGCCCCTCTAATAACCTGTGTCCATACCTAACCTACTGCCATACCTAACTGTAATATGGTGTTCATTAAAATCTAATGCAGTTTTCTTAAACTGCTGGAATGCTTTTTTTTTTTTTATAAGGATGTAACCTTAATGGGTTTTTTCAGGATTTGTGGTTTGCAGTGTTATTTTGATTAGTTCTATATTTAAGGAGCTATTTTCAATGACATGGATCAGTGCCAGTGTCAACATCTTGAGCCACCTATTTATCATCGTTTCTTTGAGAGTTTGTGGTTGAACAGTGAGCAAAAATACTAGAGGAAAACAAGCTGATGGCCAGGAAAGTGGGAGCAATGCTAAAACTAGTGGGAGCCAGTGTGTCTGGCATCATTTTGAATCCTTCTGCCTATATGTTAAATACTGCAAATAAGAGAACAATCAGCGAATCAAGGATAAGTTCTCTTCTGTGTAGGGTAATGCCCTGGTCTTTTGTTACTAATTCAAGTAAATTTATCCGTTTTAGCTTGTAAAATGATGTTGCTAAAAAGAACATTATTTTTTGTATTTGGGGGGGTGTGTTAGAATTAGGTAGGCGTGGTTGACTCTTAACTTTTATAAAGAATATCTCTTTGGATTTGAGACTTTAGTCTTTGCAACTTTACAGATCTTCTTTATGCACCAAGAGCTTGTAACACTCCAAAGAGAAAGGAAAAATTTAAATCACGTCATATCCTTTAAGTGAAAATGGTTGCAAATACTGTACTAGCCTCAGGAAATAAATAAGCTGAATTCTTAAACTGTGATCATGCTGAGCTCCTATCAGATGTCAATTTGCCCTCTGTTCATTCTTTTTTGGTTCATCGAGGTTCAATGTAGGATTTCAGTACAAATGTACTGAAAAAAGTCTCCATTAGTGTTATTTTAGTATTAATTGTTTACTAAAAGTATTTATTAATATTTTTAATTCCCTTTTACTTTTATATTGTAAATTCTAGTTAGTTTTAGAAATTTCTAATTTTATATGTAAGTTTTGTTTAGTTTTATTTTTATTTTTTTATTTTTTTTATTTTTTTTTTTTGGTTTTAATTTTAGTTATTTTAGTACTTAAAACGTATTTCAGTTGCCAAGGCAACATTTCGTTGTTGTTTTTTTGTTTTGTTTTTTTGTTTTATTTTAATTGCTGAAAATAATTTTAATAAGTCTGCTTTTAGTTAGCAATAAGAATACTGGTCTTCATTATCTATGTTTAACAAATGAGTTACTAAGTAGCTTAAAAAAGTCACAGCTTTGAAATAAAGTGAAATAAATCCTGTCCTTTTGTATCTGTTTTACATTTGTTTTAAGCAGATAATTTCTGACCAATAGATGATACTGTACACAAGTTCATATACAGTACTGTTTGTGATTACTTCAGGTAATTCAGGATGCATGTTGTGTGTTAACACTTAATTCCTTAACAAAAAAGTTGCTAATAAACACGGTGTCAATACATATTTCTCATTCTCATCTACAGTTTATAGCAGTAATGAACTTACCAGTAGGATTTGATACAAAATACAAAACTGAACACAATCTAGCACAAGCCTGTCTGTTGTTGCTTCTTATGCTACATTCCACAGCCTCACTCTAGTGTAGAGTGTTTGTTCAGGCTGGCTGCCAAACTCCGGCTCCAGACCCCTTCTCTCCCTACCCTCTTCTCCTATGTCATCCCCGCTGGGACACTCCAGTTAAACTGTAAACCATTGCCGGCTCACCAGCCCAGCAGTATCGCTGATAATCCTCTGCAGGAATTATTTCCGGGTCGTAAAGCCACCTTTTTCTATCTGAAGTTCCTTGTTTATGCCCAGCCTCTACATTCTTGTTTTCCCCCGTGAGCTACTCCTCTTTGAGGAAGAAACCATTTCCCCCTTCTTGTATTTATCCCTTTATATATACAGTAGGCGTGGTGTTATTTTTCATTTGTTTTCAGGCTTCTTATCTTTTATTTCTTAATAAAATAGTATGTGGTAAAGGAAATGGGTGTGATTTTTCTCTCGTTCCCGTTTTATTGCTATGCAAACAACAGCTCAATGTGTGAGAATGGCCGTGTCTCCTGATATATCATATCTTTCGCTATTCTGCTTTGTCATAATTGCTTTGGCAGAGTTGTTGGTGACCAAATATATATATATTTTTTAATTTTCCATGTTATGTTATTAGCACTTTAAATCGCCTATTTGATTTGATGCAGGGCATAATGACATGCTTATTGAATTGACAGTTTCTAGATGCATGAAGGGTGTTTTGAGTGATAGGTTGTACTTGGTGGTTGCTAGGGTGTTCTAGGTGGTTGTTAGGTGTTTACTAAGTAATTACTATTTACATATTTGTTTAGTAGTAGTAGTAGTATTTAAATTACAATATTTTTTATTTGATTTAATAAGCTCCTAAACATTTCCTTTGCTTTTTTATTTTTTTTATAAAAATAAAATACTTAAACTCCTAAACTTAAAAAAAAAAAATCAATACAAATCTAAACTATTTACTTTTATATTATTATTATTATTATTATGGTCTTAACAGTATTAACTCATGTTCTCCCTTTCTTTTTTCATCCCGTAGACTCTGCCACTGACATCCCACAGCTCTCTCCCTTCAACACCAAGGGTCCTCTGTGTCTGTCGCCCTCTTTCCAGATGTCCACTCTCAGTCTTCCCGGCCAGGCACCTTCACCCCTGCAGAGCCCCATCTTGAATGAGGTGGGCACTGCCAGACTAGAGGAAGACGAAGAGGGCAGGAGGAAGGTACACTGATCGCATGCCAACCTGCCCGAGCCTGAATAAGAGTTGAAAACGTTTACTGTTGAAGCCCAGCTCAGGGCATGCTTGGATTTGATTGAAATAAGTAAAAAAAAAAATTTAAAAAAATGAGTGGGAACCATTACCCAACTTTTATAGATTTATCAGACATTGACACTTTAAATGTAATAGTATCTTGAAATATTTCCGAGTCAACTGAAGTTAGGTTAAAATGAGTTCTAGGTTCTATGTTAAACTTGTAAGTTTAATGTTAAATTTTAGGTTCTGTGTTTGAAGTTAATCTTTACGTTCGTTTCAACGTTAACTTCTGGATTTTAAGTTTTTTCTCTGAGTTGTGTTAAATGTTCAAGGTTCTAGATGAACCTACTACGTTCAAAGATAGGTTAATTTAGTTAAATTGTAGGTTTTGTGTTTGAGGTTGTACAGTGTGTTCTTAGCTAACTTCTACATTAAGGTCTACATTAATTTAATAGATAAATTCTGATTTATACATTAACTTCTAAGTTCTAAACTGTGCTAACATTTAAGATAAATTCTAGGATGTGTATTCCAGGTTAACTTATACATTCATTTTTGTTAATTTCTGGGTTTTATGTAGGTTCTAAGTAAGTACTATAACTTAATTTCTAAGATAAGTTCTTGGTTCTGTGTTCTGCATTAACTTTTTATGTTCTACATTCTACATTCACTCCATAGAACATAAATGAACTTGCCAAATAAAATAGAGTGTTTAGAGGGTTTAATACAGCTTATCTAAGAATGGTTTTAAGTATGCTTTTATTTTCAGAGATATCCCACCGACAAAGCCTACTTCATTGCTAAGGAGATTCTGACAACAGAGCGGACTTACCTGAAAGATCTGGAGGTCATCACAGTGGTGAGCAGAGCTGTCTGTGCTCATGACTCATGAATATAACAAGTTTAGTGTGTGAGGCTTGTCTGGACAATGTATCCTGTATGTTGTGTCAATTAGCTGTTGTGTATGTTTCTATTGATGTGTTTAATGTGTCTGTTAGATGATCTTTTGTCTTTGAACTGTGTGTGTGTGTGTGTGTCCATGTCCTCAGTGGTTCCGCAGTGCAGTGATTAAAGAAAACGCAATGCCTGAGGGTCTCATGACCCTCCTGTTCTCCAACATCGACCCCATCTATGAGTTCCACTTCTACATTCTACATTCACTCCATAGAACATAAATGAACTTGCCAAATAAAATAGAGTGTTTAGAGGGTTTAATACAGCTTATCTAAGAATGGTTTTAAGTATGCTTTTATTTTCAGAGATATCCCACCGACAAAGCCTACTTCATTGCTAAGGAGATTCTGACAACAGAGCGGACTTACCTGAAAGATCTGGAGGTCATCACAGTGGTGAGCAGAGCTGTCTGTGCTCATGACTCATGAATATAACAAGTTTAGTGTGTGAGGCTTGTCTGGACAATGTATCCTGTATGTTGTGTCAATTAGCTGTTGTGTATGTTTCTATTGATGTGTTTAATGTGTCTGTTAGATGAGCTTTTGTCTTTGAACTGTGTGTGTGTGTGTGTGTCCATGTCCTCAGTGGTTCCGCAGTGCAGTGATTAAAGAAAACGCAATGCCTGAGGGTCTCATGACCCTCCTGTTCTCCAACATCGACCCCATCTATGAGTTCCACAGAGGTTTTCTCAAAGAGATTGACCAAAGGCTGGCTCTCTGGTACTAGTTCTTATTTAACAAAATGCAACTTGTTAGCATATATGACAATGTTAAACAAATTTTAATTTAACCCTACAAAGCCTACTGTATTATATTTGATACGCAAATTTGTAATACCTCTAAATTATCACAAAAAAAAACCTGTTGTATGCAATCTACTACATGCTTTCTATTGTCTGATATTTAATACTTTTTAGCAAGAAAAATTCATTTTAGTATATAGTTTTTAAAAATGTCTACCTTCAGTTTGTGGTGGTATATGTGAGATATAAAGTGACAACTGATTTTTATATGCATTTTATGCAAGTAGACTGTTATACTTTTATAAAAATCTCATTGATTTACATTACAAGCTATCAGAATTTCAACTTATTTTGGTCATTTAATTATCAGCAACTGCACTAAATTGCATATTTTTGCTTTGTTTTTAATAACTTTTTTTTTCTCAAGTATGAGCTCCATATGTACTATGTCATACTATATGAACCATGAAAGCCTGATGTATCAAATATGATACTCAAAAAAAAAAAAACTATGCAAACTTAGTTTTTTTATGTTTGGTTTAAAGGTTCATGACAGGAATGCTATTTTGTCTCAGCCACTGATCATTTTCACATGTTCACAGGGAGGGGCGCTCTAACGCTCATGTAAAAGGAGATTACCAACGAATTGGAGATGTCATGCTGCGCAACATGTGTGCTCTGAAGGTGAGGTTATAGTTCAGTTCTACAAACAAGAACAACTTTGATTTTTAATGTAATAAAGTATTCAGATCATCCATAATTTACGTGATGGGGTTGTTGCCTTCATAATCTCAGGAGTTCATAGGCTTTCTGCAGAAGCATGATGAGGTGTTAACAGAGCTTGAGAAAGCCACAAAGCGTGTGAAGAAGTTGGAGACTGTGTATAAAGAGTTTGAGCTGCAGAAGGTGTGCTACCTGCCTCTCAACACCTTCCTGCTGAAACCCATTCAGAGACTCATGCACTACAAACTCATCCTGGAGCGTCTGTGTAAGCATTACGTCCCCCAGCAGAGAGACTACGATGACTGCAAAGGTGATTCTGCTACCAGCTAAACCTCAGATGTTTTTTCGAAGAACAAACGCTTTTTCTTTAAGATCTGAGCATGATAATGAACGTCCACATTCTGTTTTTGCAGAGGCTCTGAAAGAGGTTGCAGAGATTGCTGCTCAGCTGCAGAGCAGTCTGATTCGACTGGAGAACTTTCAGAAGCTGACAGAACTTCAGAGAGATCTGATTGGCATTGAGAACCTTACGGCTCCGGGAAGAGTGAGTTACCTTGTACCTGAATTTTTGTTTTGGTTAGTCAAAGTAGTGGATGAACTGGCGTACAGAACATCCCCTTTTAGCGTTATGAACCAATTATACTATGGTCATGGTCAGAAATGTACTAAGTAGTATAAAATGTAAATCTGCATTCCTAGATTTACACTTTTTAAATGGCAGAAATCTTTAAGATAAAAGATAAATCTATGAGCTAGAAGATCATATTTCAACTCAGAATAGACAAAATATCGAGAAAGGTATTTAAAAGAGGGTTATAATAGCCAAAATAACAGCACTGTTCTTCACTGGAAAAGTTATTTCACCTCGATACAAACGCTCACTGTCATGGCAATCACACATTGCAATCTTTGTCTCATTTCTCGTTCGATTTGTGGCACACTACTGGCAGGATGATAGTAATGTAGTTTTTAGAGCTTGGAAGCAATACAATAGACGTCAATGATTCACCCTTACATATGAGCATCTCACAAAATGAAGAGTTCTAGAGAAACAAGGAAATTTGAATTGTAGTTTGCTGCTTTATAATTAATAAAAGTCAGTAAGTAAAGTGCCCAGTTCATTTTTTTTCCTGCTCCTCCTCTAGGAATTTATCAGGGAAGGTTGTCTCTACAAGCTCACCAAGAAGGGTCTGCAGCAGAGGATGTTTTTTCTCGTAAGACTGAACTTCTATTCTGTTTTGGCAGTTTTGATTTTAACTTCTGTCTGGGTTGACCAAAACCTTTTTCTGTCTAAGTTTTCAGACATGCTGCTGTACACAAGCAAAGGGGTGACTGCAACCAATCAGTTCAAAGTTCATGGACAGCTTCCCCTCCATGGGATGATTGTGAGTATTCCCAGGAATTATTTTTGGAATGGAATACTAACTGCATTATTGAATACGAAACAGTACGCATTATGTAGTGATACACATTCCAAACGGTAGTATGCTGAACATTGTCATGTGATTTGTAAAACCTTTGAAAAAAAAAAAAAAGTCAAAAATGCTACTCCAAAAATCAAACAAGTTAGGACAAAACCAGAACAGATGCGATGGGGAGTCCTCTGTCGCTTTACAGCTATCACAAATTGGAGAAATAGTAGGGATGTAACGATTAACCGCGAGCCGGTTGAAAATCGATTTTTTTTTTTTTTGCGCTACAACATGGGATTATTCAATGCATGCTGATGAACTTTTGTCATAGTTAGTTATATGGAAACGAATAATTTATAATTTGTCTTAAATCTCATTTTGTAAAAAACAAAATCGTGAATTGAATCGAATCGTGAGTTGAGTGAATCGTTACATCCCTAAGAAATAGTGTTGTATATTTTATTTAGTCTAACTTTGAATTAATACAATCTGTGCACTACCTTAAACTGGATCAGCCTATGTCTAGCATTTATTGAACAAAATTAGATCCTACTAAGACATTCATTCCATGTTTCATCAGACAGGTCTACACCAAAATCCTTGGCCCAAGCTTCTTTTAAGTGGCTTGTGTTCATAGGCATCAGAAAAGCATTAACAAATCGTGAAATCAAATGGCTAGTGGTTGAATTTGACGTCACCTGATTTATGTTCAATTCAGCGAATGACTTTCAGTTAGGGCTGGGATTCGATGCCAAAAGGAGTTGAATCTTTGATTCGGAGGTTCTGGAAATCAAAAGTCAGCTCCAAATGTAAATCAGCTTCACTGAAGAGCCCGACATATCTTGCCATTACCTGACAAATACTATTTTTAATAATACTATATCAAATATAGATACACTTTTTTTTTTTTTTTTTTTACAATTTTTTTATCCTGCAAAAGAAGTACACGCACTTCAGCTTATTTTGAATCTTTAGCAATCCCATCAATGTCTCATCTCTTATGCAAACCAGCTTGCCTGAAAAGGCCTTTTGATGAATGACTCTGTCCAAACAGTCTGCACAAGTGCTAGGCTGAGAGGATTTGCCCATCTTTAAACATGAGAAGAGGGCTGTCTCAGTAGCATGCTGTTTTTAAGTGAAGTTAGAATTAATGTGGCTTGCTGGGGTAAACTCCGATGAAAGTGCACAGGCAGGCATTGATAAATGACGTTTATACTGGCATTTTTCTCTAAACGTCTGCACTGTCTCACATCTTAGCTTTGTTTTCATAAAGCAGTGATCTTTCAGGCCTTATTTGTAGTATCTGCCGTTAACTAAAATTTGACGATGCACACTGTCCTGGCCCACAATTCATACAAGACGCATGTTCAAAGTTGCACTTAAAAGAGTTGTTTACAAGTGTTCAGGGCTGGCGTGCGGAGGAGGAGAGGAGTAATCTGGGTTATTTTCAACCTAATACCATGCTGTCTATTAACACGGACAGACAGTGCTAAAAAAATCAGTTTTACCATCACAGAATAAAAATGCATTTTAAAATATATAAAAATAGAAAAGTTATTTTAAATTGTAATCATTTCACAATATTGGTGTATTTACTGTGTGTTTGTGATCAAATACATGCAGCCTTGGTGAGCTAGGTGACGTCTTTAAAAACATTTAAAAATCTTCCCAAACCCCGAACTTTTCAACGGTTGTATATATTACCAAATGAGAAATGCATTTACAGTACATACTGTTACAGTGGACTTGTCTGTGCTTCGCTCTTGCCCGCAGCTCATTGTGCTGGACGCTCCGGTGAGTATGAGGAAAATCCCAAAATCCCGCACTCCCAAACAGCACCTCGAAAGTCTGCCCACAACATTTGCATTTCCCCCATCGGCTCCTTCTGCTATCCCTCCCCAGCATTGATAGAAATGAGGATTGCTAGTAGTCAGGATGTTAACAAGTAGATTATTGACACTTTGGGATGGGATCAGTCATATTATCCCAAAGTATGCTAGTCGTACAGATCCCTTAAGTTTAACTGGCAGGCCTCTCTCTGGACTTTAAATGTTTTGCAGGTGGAGGAAAGTGAGAATGAGTGGTCTGTTCCTCACTGTTTCACCATATATTCCGCTCAGAGGACCATTGTGGTGGCAGCTAGGTGAGTGCATATGAAAGAAATTACTTTCACACTGCGTTTAAGTAGGACTGGGAATCATGATTCATTTGATTTGGTTGAAAAATTTGGGTTTCGAGTATTTAATTATTCTAATAACGATTTCATTCCAATTATTATTTTTTTTTTTTTGCAATGTTGAGAAATAAAGAACAATTTTGTATATGTTCTACACTTAGCAGCCTGTTGAAATAATGAGATCAAATTTCAACAGTAATAACAAATACGTATTAAAATGAAATGAAATTATATTATACACTTTTATTGTATATTGTGTCATTAGTTTTTTTATGTACTTTTATTCAGCAGAGATGTATTAAATGGATCAAACATGACAGTAAAGACTTTAATATTGTTACAAAAATTTATATTTAAAATAAATCTGTCCTTTTTTAGTCATCAAAGAATCTTTTTTTTAAAAAGTAGCACGGTTTCCACAAAAATATTAAGTAGCACAACTGATAATAGCAAGAAATCTTACTTGATCACCAAATTAGCATATTAGAATGATTTCTGAAAGATCATGTGACACTAAAGGCTGGAGTAATGGCTGCTGAAAATTCAGCTTTGCCATCACAAGAATAAATTACATTAAATTTAAATTGAATATATAAAAGTATATTAAAATATATATTTTTTTTTAATGGTGATATTTCACAATATTACTGTTTTACTGTATTTTTCACCAAATAAACTTGGGTGAGCATAAGAGACTTGTTTCAAAAACAAAAATAATCTTACAGATGTCAAACGTTTGAATTAACAGTAATATTATATTATTCTTATTTTCAAAGAAACATTTCCTTTAAAGGGATAGTTCATCTAAAAATAACAATTCTGTCATCATTTTACTCACCCTAAAGTTGTTCCAAACCTGTATGAATTTTTTTTCTTCTTCTGCTGAACTCACAAGATATTTTGAAGAATGTATGTAACCAAACAGTTGCTGATCCTCATTGACTTCCATAGTATTTTTTTTCCATACTATGGAAGTCAGTGGGAACCATTAACTGTTACCCACAATCTTCAAAATATATATCTTCAACAGAAGAATGAAGCAGAATAAAGCAACAAGGTCTTGAGGGGGTGTAAATGATGACAGAAGTTTCATTTTTGGGTGAATTATCCCTTTAACTTTTGTCTTTGCTGTTTATCATCTTTCAGTAAGAGACTCTTTCTCCTCCACAGCTCCAAAGTAGAGATGAACAAATGGATTGAAGATCTGAACATGGCTATTGACATGTCAAAGAAATGTCAGGAGAAATCAGATCTTCTGTTGGACCCAAGCCTGTGTGATCGCTCCAACAGTAAGTATCTCGAGCCTGCTTACAGCGTATTCCTCCACTGTCCACACATGTGCAGGTTGTGATGTGTTTTTGTCCCTTAGCCTCTTTATCACTGATCCTGAAGTAGATGTAAACCCCATCGCTTCCGATTGCTCCTCCTCTCTCTCCCCTCTCCTCCTTTCTTCCTTTCCCTCCGCACAATCATAAGGATCATCAGATGAAGTGTCTCTGGAGCAGGAGTCAGAGGATGACATGGGAATCAAGGACCGGAACTATCCATTTTATAAAAATAAATAAAATATATTTAAAAACTTTTTGGGGGGAAAATAATGAGATGTGTACATTTGCATCAACAACTCTCTCTGTCACTCATGACAACGAATCACCATCTCTTTGAAAATGCTTTATCATTGCAAATTCATTGTGACCCACTATTAGACAGTATTTCTCACTGACCCATAAGAAGAATGTGTAGAGAGTTACAAGCTCTGCCAGTGAAATTGAGACATTTTTTTTTATTATGATGCCCTCCATTACAGAACCAGCTGTCTGGTTACCTCCTAAGGAAGTTCAAGAACAGCAATGGCTGGCAGAAACTTTGGGTCGTCTTTACCAACTTCTGCCTGTTCTTCTATAAGACACACCAGGTATTGGAATATGTACAAGCCGTTTGATGTATTTGATGTTCATTCTGAAAGATTAAACTTCCTGCAGGAGGTCTAAAGGTCTGGATAATTTCTAATTAATTCTTGTTTTTGTTCCAGGATGACTTCCCTCTGGCCAGTCTGCCGTTGCTAGGTTACACAGTCAGCACCCCAGAGGAATCGGATAGCATCCATAAGGAGTACGTCTTCAAGCTGCAGTTCAAATCCCATGTTTACTTCTTCAGGGCAGAGAGCGAGTATACATTTGAAAGGTATGGTTTTAAATATATTTATTAAAATAATTTATTCAAAATTATTCATTAGGTTATTCCTTGTTTCATATTAATGACTTAGTTTTAGGGCTGTCAATTGATTTCAGTGCATCATTTTAATGATTTGGTAATTTATTGAATTAATGTACACTGCTGTTCTAAAGTTTGGTGTCTGTAAGATTTTTTTTTTTTAAATGCATTTTAAAGAAGTCTCTTATGCTAACCAAGGCTGCATTTATTTGATGAAAAATACAGTAAAATAAGTAATACTGTAAAATGTTAATACAATTTAAAATAACCTTATTTCATATATTTAAAAATGTATTCATTCCAGTGATGGCTAAACTTAATTCTCAGCATCATTACTCCAGTCTTCAGTGTCACATGATCCTTCAGAAATCATTCTAATATGCTGATCTGATGCTCTAGAAAAACTTTTATCATCATGTCGAAAACATTGGTGCTGCTTAATATTTTTGTGGAAACGGTGATAGTTTTTTCAGGATTCTTTGATGAATATAAAGTTTAAAAAAGAACAGCATTTATTTGAAAATGACGTATTTAATAATATTATAAATGCCTTTTAATCATCCTTTCTGAATAAAACTTTCTTTCACAAAAAAATCAAACTTTCTGACCCCAAACGTTTGAACCGTAGTGTATGTCATTATTAATTGCAAATAATTGCTTGCATTTCTTCTAACAAAAACAGACTAGTGAAATATTTATATTACAATTCAATACACATTATACATAATACTTCTGATATATTTTTATTTATTTATTAATCATGCTAAATTAACAGCCTTCATTATTTTTTCTTCTATAATAAAAGAGAAGAAGTGAATATTTGATATGCTAAAACATGCTGGGATGTGTGTGCAGATGGATGGAGGTGATCAAAAGTGCAGCGAGCTCCGCGGGACGCATGAGTCTGCTTGTACCCAAAGACCCAGCAGAGATGAACGGGGGAAGCTGAGTGTGTCAGACTGGTCTCCTGGAGCTGAGGGCTGGGCCCACTGTCTGCCAGGACCAAACACAGCATCGTTTTATCCTTTCTGATTTGTGGCTCTGAGAAGCATCATCATAATAACTTGATTCTTGACTCTGGACTGTTAGTTCTCTGCTTGCTGGGAGTTTGAGCTGCTTATTGAAACCTCAGTCCAAAGAAGTTGGTCGGAAAGTAAGCACTCTGTAATTGTCTCCCGCCATTTCTCTTTCTTTTCTTCTCGTCTTCTCGCTGATGAAACAAAAAGTGGGCATCTTGCTGTTCTAGAAGCACATTAGACTGAAAGAATTCTTATAGAAACACATTAGACTGAATTAAGTTAAGTTTGTGTGTTTCCCTTAAAGATCCAGAGATAATCTTGCTAAGGTTACACTTATTGCTGTATTCAAGTTTTAAGGTCTTTGCTAAGATGAATCTGTCATTAGGATATTTAATGATTCTTGTTACTCCAGTTTATTCAGTAGAAATCTAGTCCCTCAGGACCACAAATATAGTTTCTATTATTTGTCCTGGGACAACCTGACTGAATACTACTAAATGGAGTGTTGACAAACAGAGGGTTTGTATTAAGTCCAGCTAGTGCAGTAAGTGAGATAAAGGACTAGTGCTGTAAAATGTGTCTCGCTGATGTAGAAACAACGTAATGTTGGTCAGAGAGCATGTTTACAGGGCGTAGCTCAGAAACTGGAGTTCTATGATCGAGCACCTTTGCCCCTTTAAAGGGTTGAGGCTGAGATGTTGGTACAGGAAGGAATCAGTGAGGAATAGAAATGTTATTTTGACGTTGAGGCAGCTGAATTGGCTTGTACAGTATGTGCTGTCCTCTTCCAGCGTAGGTTAAAGCATGTCTTGAAGGTCATTATTAAGTGACCGTTACTATTTAGGGGATTTTTTTGAGTTCTGATCCGTTGCTTTTTGATCTCACAGCATTGATTTTCTTTAAATCTGAAAACTAATCAGATATCTATTTTAAAGTGAAGACTGACCAAAAAACATTTGCTAACCAAACTAAATGTAATGTTTTCAATGATGTATTCACAAATGTCACTAGTTTTGATTTTTGGGATACTTGACAGATAATGAGCTCAAGTCTAAACTAACCCCCATATGGGGGAAGAGGGTCATCCACAGTGTAATATTGCACTTTTCTTTTGGTTCCTGCCATTTACACACAGGGAAGAGGAAATGGTTCTGGTGAAGTTAAAACAACAATGCAAGATGGTCAGCCACTAAATCCAAAATTTAAACTGGGATCAAAGGCCTAAAACTGCCTGTTCCCCTTTTATATTGTATATGCGAATATTATTATTATTATTTTTTTTTTTTTTTTAAGCATATTAATAATTATATTCAGTAGAAATCTAGTCCCTCAGGACCACAAATATAGTTTCTATTATTTGTCCTGGGACAACCTGACTGAATACTACTAAATGGAGTGTTGACAAACAGAGGGTTTGTATTAAGTCCAGCTAGTGCAGTAAGTGAGATAAAGGACTAGTGCTGTAAAATGTGTCTCGCTGATGTAGAAACAACGTAATGTTGGTCAGAGAGCATGTTTACAGGGCGTAGCTCAGAAACTGGAGTTCTATGATCGAGCACCTTTGCCCCTTTAAAGGGTTGAGGCTGAGATGTTGGTACAGGAAGGAATCAGTGAGGAATAGAAATGTTATTTTGACGTTGAGGCAGCTGAATTGGCTTGTACAGTATGTGCTGTCCTCTTCCAGCGTAGGTTAAAGCATGTCTTGAAGGTCATTATTAAGTGACCGTTACTATTTAGGGGATTTTTTTGAGTTCTGATCCGTTGCTTTTTGATCTCACAGCATTGATTTTCTTTAAATCTGAAAACTAATCAGATATCTATTTTAAAGTGAAGACTGACCAAAAAACATTTGCTAACCAAACTAAATGTAATGTTTTAAATGATGTATTCACAAATGTCACTAGTTTTGATTTTTGGGATACTTGACAGATAATGAGCTCAAGTCTAAACTAACCCCCATATGGGGGAAGAGGGTCATCCACAGTGTAATATTGCACTTTTCTTTTGGTTCCTGCCATTTACACACAGGGAAGAGGAAATGGTTCTGGTGAAGTTAAAACAACAATGCAAGATGGTCAGCCACTAAATCCAAAATTTAAACTGGGATCAAAGGCCTAAAACTGCCTGTTCCCCTTTTATATTGTATATGCGAATATTTTTTTTTTTTTTTTTTTTTTTTTTTTAAGCATATTAATAATTAATTTACAAATTCTTTCCCTACGATCTATTGATCAACAAACTTTTTTTTTCGCTATATATGTTACGGTCTTGTTTTGTTGGAAGGCCAGTTGAGTTATTTGTTGTTTCAGTAGCATGATAGAGTTCCAGTGTTATGTTTACTTACCGGCTTCACTTTATGAAGACAGATCTGTATGACATCTGATTTGGGAGACTTTTTAAATTTTTTTTTTTTTGCCTCTTTTTGGATTATTGGTTGTATTTATAAGGCTTTTGGCTTTGTCCGTTCAACATGCTGTACAGGGTCCAACCAAAGACCTGAAGAAGTCTTGCGTAAGCCTAAAAAAGGTTGGCCAGAGTTAGTCGGCCACACATTAAGCAGTGTTGCTTTGTGTACTCATAACAATAAACTGTATGCAGCTATCATCTCGACATGAGCTCAGCTAGTCTGATGTGTTTCAAAACCCTCTTCATTCACTAATGCACTGTGTGGGCTCATGGTCTCCACCCATTTTTGTACATTTTATGCAAGGACTGGAATCATTTTCTTCCTCGTTTTCTGTATTTGGCAATAAGAGGGATGGATGAAGGGTTCTTTTCCATCCTGGATTGCTAAGCATGAGAAAAGTGAGTTTACTCAAAGACCTCAGTTTCCTGTCTCGTTCAGAGAGGCACTAAACTGAGTTTTGAGGAAATCGCTTTTCTCCAGCTTTACTATTTATTTTGTGTAGCATGCTGCTGAGTCGTTGCTCCTGTACACACCGCATATAGTAAGTTTCATGTTATGACATTGAAGGGATATCAAATAAAACTGAGCTGTGTAAACGTTTAATTCTCTTCTTTTTGTCACATTAAATGGTTAGTTCACACAAAAATAAAAATTGTTATCAGTTAGCCTACTCACCCTGTATGACATGAGTTTGTTCATCTTTAAAACACAAATGAAGATATTTAAATGAAAACTGAGATTTATGTCGCTCTATTTAAAGATCATTACACCAAAACGTTGGCACTTCAGAAAGTTCATAAAAACTAGGGCTGGGTGAAAAATATCTGTATCTCAATTTTAATCGATTCTCATTTTTACGAATCGATTATTCTAGCCTGTTTTCAGTTAATGGATGGAACATTGAAGGGCACCTCCATCCAATAAATCGCAATAAGCATTGTGCTTTGGTACTTTTAATATGAAACAAAGTCTCAGATTTCAAATTCTGTCCATTGTATTGCAGTATTTAAACAATAATTATGCCGTTTTGGCGCTGTTTAATGTGGAGTGACGGATCGCTGTAGCGCCTCAGTTCAACAGACGCAGCAGCGCAGCGCGAGGCGCACGTGAACTGATCATCTCCACGTTAATACCAGTTTCAGCACAAAATAAGCATGACTAAACATCTGAAGGTAAGTTAAAAGAAAGAGTACAACTTTACAATCCGTATCCTGTCTAATGTAATCTGTCAATCAGTGTTTCAGCCACGCAGAGTCAATATAACTGCTTGTAAACGATGTGTCACGTAACGTCATATTTACCTCAGAAAAACAAACTCGGTGACCATAAACTCATTAGTCAGACAGAAAAAAAAACTGTAGAGAGGGGCATTTTGCTAATATGTACCGTATAGCATATTCATTATAATTTTTACTGTTCTTCAATGTTTAATTT